TGCTGAGTTCGATCCTGCTGGTAGAATTACCTGGTGTCTCGCTTCGTTTCATTGTTATTTCAACTGGAGAGCCTGAAAAAACGGCTGGTTTCTTCGCTTTGAGGTGAATATATTTCACAATTCTTACGTGACACCAGGCAAATTCTGGCCGCCGGATTTCAACTCAGCACGACTTGTTTCATCAAGAAAGGCGACCATTGTACACCTGTGTAAACCGTAGAAGCTTAAGCCCCTATCTTTAAGCGTTCTATCTTTAACGTCTTTAACAAGATTGTGTGGAATTATTACGCAGGACGATTCGATCGTGCCGCCCGACCCTTGGAGCCTATCCTCGAGGCCGAAGAGCACCTCCAGCCTCTACGACGGGGAGTTGTCCAGGAGGGCGAGCTTGTTGCTGCCGCCGCCGTCGGAGCTGAACGATCTCCAAATGAGCCCGCCGAGCAGCGATCCGCCGAGCGAATAAACGAGAGCGAGGATGTCGGCCGGACGTTCACGGCGAAAACGTTTCGACGCCGGATCTCGTATAGCGATCGACACGCTACGACGTAAAGACCGTTCGTTCGAAGAGACTAGAAATCAATTTCTCGGGGGAAAAACCCCTTCGCGCCCTTTCCCGGACTATCGTCACTCCGACTCCGGACGTTTGCATAGTCGACGAAGCCGAGAGAAATCAATCAAAGTGAGCCGCGTGTTATCGAACATCGCGACTGCTGCTTGCGCATTTCTGCGTCCTCGTTCTCGGGAACTCCCGCGAAGCTTCACGCTCGGACAGTTTTTTCCACGACAGCGTGAACGATCAATCTCTCCTACCCGAAATTCATTTTCTACGCGAACCAAGTCGGACCTGCCGCGAAATAACAGCACGAATCGACCGTAGCTTATCTTCCGTCGGCGATTCCGGCACGTGCGAATCGGCCGACAGACTCCAAATTCTCGACACAGGCTGATTCTCTTCGCAGAACTCGCACGTTGTTTTCCCAATTTTGCGGCGCAACCGTCGTGTCCGAGGGAGGCTGCCGCTCGAGACGTGTGTAATCGATCACCGAAGAGATCGTTGTGCTCTCATCATCCCCGAGGAGTAACGTCGACTTTACGCTCGGGACGTGGCGACAACCGAGCGTTCCGTGGTGTATCCCTCTCGGGAATTTTTACCGTAAGACGAATATCCGGTTTCACCGTATGCGCAGGACGCCCCGGACAATCGCTGCATTTCAACGCCGCACGTTGCGCGCTTGAACGCGCAACGATTAAACGATGTGAAGTAAAATTCGCCGTCAGATCGATCGGCGGCGCGACTCCACTTCCGTCTCGATCTCGCGAGACTTTCGTCAACTCGAGAACTCGATCCCCCGGGCGCACACATCGTAAGCCCGGGAGAACCCGCGCAGTTCCGGGACATTCTGCGTGTATATTATATATTCGCGCCGCAAACAATGAAAGTATGTTCGCACACAATCGCGAGAGCTACCGTGTAAAACCTGTCGATGTCGTCGGCTGTATCGCTCAGTCGACCCGGAACTTTTGGAATATCAATTCTTCTCTATGTGACGAACTTCGCTTGCGACGACGATAAATACTTGCCGTACTCGCGCGAGGTAAGGCCGTACAGACGCAAATCGAGAAGAGGGAAGAAGCGTAGTCCACTGGGCATCATCTGAATGTATCTGTGATTGCTTATGAACGTCCTAGTCTTCGTCATTGTGGTGTCTCACTGATAGGTTCTTAGAAAATACACACACACACACACACAAAATGTATATAGATAGAGCGATACGCGATACTTTAGATACATTAGATAATTGTGTAACTCGAGGTCTGCCTTCTTCAGTTACACTTCCTTCAATGCGGTCGTCGGACGAGAGAGAGAGAGAGAGAGAGAGAATGTGTGTAACGAGAAGGAGGAGATCCATAGTTCCTTCGTTTAGGCCGAGATATAGGTGCACTTACTAGTATATACACACACACATACGCACAGATCGAAACGCGCAGTCCTGCCGCGCTTCAAGTCCTTCATATGAAAAGAAAAATGTGGCACCCGCTCGCGCGAGCTTCTCTCACCTGAGAGCTCGACCTTCTTCTCGAGATGAGATAGCATATATATATATATATATATATATATATTGGATTATATATATATTTTCTATGCGAGATTTTGAAATTCGCAAGACTCCCCTCCCTCTTCCATGCCCATCACGTTTGCACAATGCATCAATGTCCTGTCAATTTGACCGATCGCGCGTTACGCACACACGGAGAAATATTTTCGTCCCTAACGAAGGAGCGACTTAACGAGGAAAGCGGAGGAGAGACGAATCTCCGGTATCAGCAAATTTCTTCTGCCCCCCCCCCCCTCCGTGGTCATTTACTCTGCGAATGAGGTAAGAAACTCGGAGGCAATCACGGCGAGGGTAGATAAAACCAGTTCTCCTGATTTCGTCGGAACGATCGTTTTGTACGTTTGCTCTTACCCTCCTCCCCCCTCGCCCCTCACGCCCTCCGTCGACGTTCTTCGTACAGTCGTTTTCAATATATCCGAATTTAATTACAAACGAAGCTTGCGTGAATTTATTGCGATACTTCGGATTCAAAACGGCGCGCCGAGTACCCCTGCGTATTTCAGATCACCTTTACATAATATTATATCGTAATAATAAAAAAAAGAAAAAGACCCGAACGATTTTTCGGCATCATGTTTCCCGAGAAGTATCGCGGCACAGAAAGGATCAGCGGTGCTCGAAAACATTTAAAGAAGCCGTAAGGAGTGTGCGGGCACTGAGACGAGAAGAAACGAGAGAGAGGATGAGAGAGGGATAATAACGTTTAAGAACAATCAAAACTCAGTTAACCGAGCTCAGAATCGACCAAGCTTGATCAGGGTTTAAAATTATTTTGCCACGTGATTTTTTATGGCACGTAGGTGTTAGTGTTCCGCAGGGGTGAAAACACGACTCCCCCGTTTGTAAGAATCGCTGAGAATAAAGCGATCCGTGAATTCTATGTGAAAGGAAAAAAAAGAAAATCTGTAAAAATTATTCATATCAGACCGCGCCGTGTTACATTGTGGTCGGCGGAACGTAATCGTGAGGAATCATTCTCTCGACTAGTGACAGGTGTATTTCAATCGCGATATAAAAGGGAGATATCGAAGCTTTTTCGAGCATGAAAAATCCGATAACTGACGTCGATGTGTGTGTGTTTGTGTCACTTATAAAACCGCTCGAGGATATGGAGAGATCGAAATCGCTGCGATTTTGTTTGTTTGTTTTTTTCAGAAATTACAAAAAAATAAACAACAAAATATGCATTATTGGCACTACCGAAATATACGATATGTATTAAAGTGTATTAAAGGTGTTAGTATAGAGACTATTTGTTACCGTATAGCGAAAAGCGCATATCAACGATGCGAAGCGTTTTTACGCGTTTGCACGCGGGAAAGTGTGATGGGCGGAGTGAGATGTCACAAAGACGGTTGGTATCGATATTAAAATTACGTGGAATTAATATCCCCATCCCGAAGCCGTCTTTCCTTCACTTTTCGCCGGAGATCAGCGCCGGGAGCAGCGCGCGGAGGAAGCTGCTTGAGTACAAGTCAATTAATCGCAACTACCGCGCACGGCATCTTCTCTTTCCTCAAGTTTGGTCTGCGACCTGCTCTCTGCGTCTTGTTCCTTGTTCTCTATCTTTCTTCCGTGAGGGCTTCTGTCTCCTTACGAAGAATAGGCAGAGGGCGAGAAACAAGACGCAAACAGCACATTGTAGACCGAGCTTTAAAGATACATACATATATAAATTGCGTACGAGATAAATGTCTAAATGTAGAAATACAGTACGTACGCGTGTAAAGTAAGAAAATGTCCGAGCGAGGCCGGAAATTTTTTATCGTAATTTTGTAAACGCTACGATCGGGAGAGAACGAAAGTGGCCTATATCGACGATGACGAACGGCAATTGTGAGGAGAAACAACATGCAGGATGTACAGGAGGATTTAAACGTGCGGATACGCCGATGACTCCGGCGCTGTTTCGATATTCACGCGTTCAATATATTGTACGGTCATTCTTTCGCAATGTGTCTCGGTTTCTTTTTCACAGTTGTTACCTCATTTCCCTCTCTCAAAACGAGTTATAAAATTTAGAGCGACTTGACGATCACTTGTTCGATTTCGCATGAATTTTTCATCCCGTTCTATCGTCTAGAATGAAATCCAAGTCAAATTGACTCGAGAAGTTTCCCTTATCTTTTTAACCTGTTAACCGAGCGGGATGTATAAATACGTCCGTGTTGCGTAGTTAAAAAAGGAATTCCCCGGTTAACAGGTTAAGAGAAAATAATTTCCTAATTTTTTCGAATATTTCATGCATGAAATATTGGGAATATGCATTGGGAATTGTTATTGAAAATGAACTCTTCTTTTCCTTTTTTTCTTTTGAGGGTACTTGAGGGTCGTTGAATGGAGTAAATTATTCTAAATAATCTCGTCAGGGGAAAGTATTGTTAAGGACATTTCTAAGGGAACGGTGCCTGAGATACCGAAAAACCGCTGCGAACTGACAAGCGGAAGATACACTAAGCGACACACCAAACTACGCAGACTATACAAATCACAAATCTGTCCTCGTCAGAGAAAGCATGCAATACATATAAGTGTATATATGTATATGTAAAAAACCTTGCTCACATACCTTAAATAAAGATATGTGTAATACGTATAACTTGTTTCTTATATATCTTTTGCCGTTTCAATGGCCGGCCGGAATGAGACCCGACAGCTTCTATAAACGAGTTCGCCACTCTTTTCCTTTTAAAGAAACGGTCTCCGGAATATCAATTTTCCAGCATGAAACCGTGCGGTGTTAATTAATAAGAGCGATTTTCCGTTTCGTTTCGATAAATGAACGCGAGAGCGTGTCGCGCGTTTTCAAACACACATATAAAGATCGGAGATCGCCGACCGATGGAGAAAACATTCAATCATCTGTCTCACGTCGCCACTTACCTGTTCGAAGCCGCCTAATATCTCCGTTGTGTCCATCGCGGAATTCACGGCGACCGACCTCAGCTGCTGGCCCGTTAAAGCGGCGAGTAGACGAACCACGTTGCTTTTACCGCAACCCGAAGCACCGACCTGTGACATCAAATTCAAACGGTTGATAATTAATTGTTCACGGATGCACGGTATTTCGTAATGAAAATGACGTAGTGACGCGGCAGATACCAGTATAGACATCCAATTCATCTTGACGCACTGCATGAGACTTCTCAGCGTGATTTTCTGGTCTCTGAGCAATAACAAACCGCCCTCCTCGTGGGCGCCACAATCTCTCCGGCTTAACGTCACGTCGCCGACGAAAAGCTTAGCCGCCGTGATGTGCACGGGCGGCTGATTGGGCGGGAGCGGATATTTCTCGGGCGAGAATATCCCTTGATATATGTCGTAGACCTGCGAATTCAAAGCTCGAGAAACAATGGTGCAACGCGGAAAATTGACGATTTTAGATTTCACCGCGCACTTTCGACACTTTATTTCGCCTCGGGATACAAATCTAACTTTACTCCGCGTTGCTTGGGCGATTTTTCGATATTCAACGTGGCGACGATCGACTCACCTTCCGCCGATCCTCTTTGGTTCTCATTCTGTCGGCATAAATGAGCCCCACACCGTCGCCCGGGTTGAAGCGTTCTTCATCGGCGCGTGACTCGTTACGAGCGGCTTCGATGGTGGCTTCGCACCAACGCGTGATGTCACGCAGATTCATCTCCCAAGGAGATCCGGCGTGTCCCCAGGCGACGCCAACCTCCGACGCTAACGTACCGTTGAACCGCACCATGTCGTGGATCAAACTCGCGGGGAGTCGCGGGAATTGCACGCTGAGTATGAACTTCAAGTCCTCGTTCGTTAGCGCGTCCACGGCGATCTACGAGAGACGATAAAACGGCTTACTCCCCAAATCGCAAGCTACGCTGTATTTGATCCCGCGCAGGTTATACCTGAGTGAATCTGTTTAAAAAGGACCTCGGCAAGCCCCGCCTGGCTCCACCCTGACGCAGGGGATTTTGGCAGGCGAACAGTCTCGTGCCGGGCTTCACCGAAAAGGTCTTCCCCAACTCGGGAACGTATATCTCCCCCCTGTGATCGAAGCACGCGTTGAGGCCCTCCAAGACCGATTGAGAGGCCAGGTTCAACTCGTCGAGCAAAATCCAATATCCCGCTCGCAGAGCTCGCAAGAACGGGCCGTCCCGCCAGGCAAATTCGCCACCTCTGCCACCCTCCACCGGGAGATCGGCGCCGAACAAGTCGGATACGTCCTGCAACAGACGGAAATATGTCCATTATTTCGGCTTCTGTGATTTCCATTGGAAGCACGCTCGTTGGAGGGGGGTGCTTGGTTTTCCACGGTTTGGTGATAAGAATGAGATGAACGTTCGCAGATTTATCTCGTTTCGACACTGAATCCTCTCACCCATCGCGCGTGAGAATCATTTATTGTTATTATAATCAGGGATCTGGAACCGGAACCGAAACCGAAAACCGTACAGAAACCGGTATTTTTATCGGACCGGAACTGCAAACCGTACCGAAATTTTATAAAGCCTACAGAACCGGAACCGAAATCGGAACCATTACATTTTTTTCGGTTTGCCATTCTTCTCGGTTCATTATTTCGGTTCTTATTTCGTAATTTTAAATAATCGTTTTTTTTTCCCCTTTCATAATAAAATTCTATTTCTCTCGGAAAAGCAGAACATTGATTAGTTATCGCGACAAATAAGAAAATAAACTTGAAGAATACGATATTGAACAGAAGAGGATTAATAGAAGAAGTAAGATATTACAATTTTGGGATAAATAGAAAGACAATCCATCCTGAATTGTACAAATTAACGGGACGTGTATTTTCTGAGAAAGCTCGGAGAATATCGAGATATTCTCGAAATGTTCTCAGAATCTATATAATTTACATGTTCCGTTAGGAAAAGGTTACAAATAACGAGGATAATATTATATATCCAAAAAAGTTAGATAATATTATATACCCAAAATAGTTAGATAATATTATATATCCGAAAAAGAAAATTGGAATAGTGAAGAAATGTAATCTACATCAAGGAAATGATATTATTTTCTATAATATATTATTATACATTATATATATAAAACTGAAGTCAATAAAAGTTTCAGTAAGGAAACAAGTTTAAAGAGCCGGAACCGAAATGAACCGTAATTTGAACGGTTTACCGGTACTTTAATTGTCCAGAAAACCGAAACCGGAACCTTTATGAAATATTTCAGTGGACCGAAACCGGACCGATATTTTCAATCGCCTGATTATAATACGCACCGTTTGATCGCTCAAATTGATTCTGAGCAAAGTATGCCCGGCGGCTTTGGCGAGCGCAGAAACCAGACTGGTTTTCCCTACACCCGGACTGCCCTCTAGCAGGATCGGTTTACCCAACTGCAACGCTCTCAGCAACTTCAACGTATTCAGTCTCGTGGTAGGAGTTGAAAACGTGAACGCCGGATCATCGGGACAGGCCTGTGGGCCTTTCTCGATGTAAAACGGTGGTATCCCGAATACACGGCTCGAATCGTTCAGCACGGCTTCTTCCCTCACCGTGAAGGCCTCCGTGTTAAAGTCTGATTTTATCGTGCGTTCGACTTCCGATCTGATGAAGCGGACGGCAGCGTCCGTGAAGTTCTTCAATTTTTCAGCGCTGGAAATCAGACGAGCATTCGGAAACGATAACAACCGATCATTATTAAGCTTTTAACTCGGTTGATCGCAATATACTTTTACCTAAACTATATACTTTCGGGATTCGTGGATCGTTTCACAAGTGGATTTCTAGCTTTTTAACTAATAGACGTCAGGTTATTAAATGCAATAACCCATTCCTTAGAAATATTCTTTAGAAATATTAATGTACTTTCCGGAGTTCCCCAAAGATTCGCCCGTTATTGTTTAATATTTTTATCGATGACGTCTCGCAGTGCTTTAAGCCGAGTAACTTTTTATTATTCGCTTACGATTTGAAAATTTTCAGAAGAAGAAGAATATTATTCTTCACAATTATTCTTCAGCGAGCTCTTCTAACTATGGACACTATTCGAGACCTCGAGCTGGTATTTCGTTCGGATCTTTCGTTTGGAAATCATTCTTAAGTCGGTGACAGCTTTGGCTTACGGAAAACTCGGGTTTATTTCTCGCTGTTGTAAGTACTTCAAGAATGTATAAACTTGAAAAGTTTTATATTGCGCGCCAGTCCGACCACATTTTCAATACGGCTCGTTGATCTGGTCGCCATATTATGATTGCTATTCGATAGAACGCGTTCGAAAGAAACTTTTTCGACAAATTAGCTTTCTTAAGAGTGAACCATTGCCAATTACATCTCATAATTATAATTCGATCTCGAAATCTTTGGGATTCTTATCTCTCCGAGGAGGATTTTAAGTGGCCGAATTTTTCTTTATAATTAAAGTACCGAGAGGATTAATAGACTGCCCTTCGATGTTAAGGCTGGTCTCGTCTAATTCCCCCTCGAGTTCTAAGAAATTATCCTCTCTTTTTCGTTGGATTGCACCGCACTTTTTACAATGAATCCAAACCTTTAAATAGATCAGTACTTATAATTAGTAATTCACACGAATGACTTAGATAACAGCATCGATATCAGTTTTATCTTTATGGCTACGTTCAAATCTTCTGTTACAAAATCATTGCATATGTAAATTTCTTGTACTCCCGAATGTTTATTATTCATCTTATTACCAAAGGGATCTAATCCTCCCGTGAACACATCTAAACGAAATGAAATGATTGAATATCGCGCTTTTTGTCGTTCCGGGAACTCAGACGTCTCACAATGAAAACTCGAGAGACGAGCGCAACGAGGGTTCGGTTTGATATTCAAGACCGATATCAGTTTTATCTTTATACCTACGTTCAAATCTTCTGTTACAAAATCATTGCATGTATAAATCTCTTGTACTCCCGAATGTTTATTAGACACCTCATCACCAAAGGGATCGAACGAAATTATTGGATATCGCGCTTTTTGTCATTCCGGGAACTCAGACGTCTCACAATGAAAACTGGAGAGACGAGCGGAACGAGCGATCGTTTGATATTCCGATATTGATGCGTACCTCTCCGCGGCCGTCGAGCCGGACCCGAGACCGTCGATGTAGGTGAGGCAGGCTCCGTGGAAATACGCGTCTCCGATGGTAAGCGTCATCGAGGAGGCGCCGGCGACGGTGCAGGTGTTGATGAAATTCACCCACGTGAGCGCGTCTCGCACGCTCACGGTGAGCTTCTCGCCCACCTCGGTGGTTCGCAGCCACTCGGTGAATCTGAGTATCGCGTCGGCGACGGATTCTCTCGTCGGCCGCGACTCGGCGCGAAGATTGTGCGCTATTATGTCGCGCAGATCGCTCCTGACGGCGCATCCTTCGCACCACACCTCGGTGAATCGGTTTCGCAACGCCGGCGAGAGTTCCTTCTTGCCGTAATCGCCGCCGGGATTCATCGTGCCGACGAACACGAATCTCTCGTCCGCCAGGATCGCGGTGTTCTCCTCGCCGTGCGAGGACTCGATTCCTTTCTCGACCAGCAGAAGGCTGCGCTCCGGTTCTGCGGGAAGATTGAGTCAGTCGGGACGATACGGTCGGAGGGAAAGAAAGAAGCGCGTACCTAGCAGCGAATTCAATCGTTCCAGGACGCTGTCGTCGGCCAGGGAGATCTCGTCGGCCAGGAACAGGTCGCCGTCGCGCATGGCGTTTATCAGAGGCCCGTCCACCCATTCGAACAGCCTCCCCCCGTCCTCGTTCTCAGCGTGTTCCCGCACCGGCCGCAGATTCCCCAGGAAGTCGGACGACTCGGTGTGCATGTGGCAGTTGACGCCGCGCATCGTTTGCCCGTTCAACGCGGCGATCAGCTGGCACACCGTCGTCTTGCCGCCGCCGGTCTCGCCGACCAGCAACACCGGCTCCTTGAAGCGGCAGGATTTCTTCACGAGCACCGCCATCCTGCGCATGTGGTACGTCCACACGATGTGACCGAAGCCGGGGACGCTGTCGTTCAGGATCTCTTCCAGTATGCGCCTCGTCACGAGCGAGGTCTCGCCGTTCAGCGTGAACAACCTGTCGGGATCCACGTCCCTCTTCAGGTGTTTCTTCAACACCTGCCTGATCTCGTCCGCTTCCTCCGTCTTGCGGACCTTGGCCGCGAGGACGAGGTAACCCTCCTCCGCCAGATGCTGCCTCCAGTCGTACAGCGCACTATCTATGTCGGCCAATCTGTACCTCTCGCCCCAGCGGAACAGGTCGCGCAGAGTTATGAATCCTAAAAAATACAGCGAAGTAGATTCAACGTTTGTTCGCACCGAAATCGCGCGCGTTGCCTCGTGACTTCTCTTCAGTCAACTTTGCTACGCAAGTGTCGGCCCACAATAGGTATTTTAGGTCTTGAGAAGTTGACCAATCACAGTCGAGCGCGAGGAGAATAATTAACTGTGATTGGTCGGTCTCTTAAAGCTCAAATACTTATTGCGACACTGTTAGCAGACACGTACCTTTTTTACCGGCAAAGGCCGCCGTACTCTTGCGCCTTATCTGAAGATCCGTCATCACGCCGATCACTTCCTTGCAGTACGATTCGGGCATGTTGCATCTCTTACTGAGTATTATCTGCAATTCGTTCGCCGGTATCTCGTCGAAGTGCAGCTCTACGAATCGATTTCTGAACGCTCGAGACAGCACCTGAGAGAAACGAGCGGTTGTAAGAAAAAGTTGATCTCGAAGCGACGATCAACGTGTCGGCCAACGGGGG